CCCAGGAGCCAGGACCCACGTGCCGGACCCACGCGCCAGGACCCACGGGCCAGACCCACGGGCCAGGACCCACGCGCCAGGTTCCATGTGCCGGACCCACGTGCCAGGACAGGACCCACGTGCCGGGACCCACGCGCCGGGACCCATGCGCCGAGACCCATGTGCCAGACCCACATGCCAGACCCACGCGCCAGGACCCACACGCCAGCACCGCGTCTGAGCCTCTGGAAGCGTCAGGGCTCATTTTGCGTGTTGTTTTTACACAGTCGTTAAAGGCGCGTGACCTGTACGAGCTGTACAGAAATCGTGTACAGGGGAAGCAGGCCGAGTCCTGGGTTATACTGGCCTCTGAAACGCCGGTTTTCAGAGTGTGGACTGTACGGCGCCGGAGTTCCCAGAGGCCACACGAAGTGCGTGACGGCACTGCGCACTAAGCACAGACGCAGGTGCCAGCATCGAGCTGCCTTCGTGATGCTCAAGTTAGAGTTGCAGACAAAATGCGCATCACCGCTCTTATTTTCACCGATATTTTAGGAAAATATTTTTTTCCCATAAAACCATTGTTTACGTTCACGGGTGTTAGTCCCCCTCTGCTGCCGTAACACACCGCAAACCCGGGGCTCAGCACTGCACACGCACCACGTGCGGTCCCCGAGGCCGGAGCCTGGAGGAGCCCCGCAGGGCTCACGGAGGCGCCGGGAGACTCTGTCCCCGTTTCCAGCCCCCAGAGGCGCCCCCGCTCTCTGCTGGTGGCCACCCGCCCTCCGAGCCGCCTCTGTCCAGCCTCTGTTGCTGTCACCACGTCTCCTTTTTCTGAACTGGACCCCTCGCTCCGTGTGCAGGCCCCCTGTGGGTACATTGGAGCAGCCCGGAGAAGCCGGGCAGTCTCCCGTCACAGGGGCTGCCGTGTGGTCGCACCGGCACACTCCCCGGTGACACCCACCAGCTCCAGGGATTTGGGGGGACATCACCCAGCCTGCCGCAGGGGTTGTGAAGATACACTCCACTTTGGAACGAGTGTTGACCAGGGTAGACCGTTAGACGTAGAGAATAACGGCTGGGAAGGCTGGGCCTTGCCAAGTGCTACCCCTGGTGAGCGCGGGTGTCCGCCCTCGCGTGCGGGGCCCGCGTGATCACCAGGCACTGGGCACTGGCGTCGCAGGCGGTGCGCGTCTAGTGGCATCGTCTGGGCGGAGACTTCAGTCTCGATTGATGGTAGGAGTTTTACCACCTGACAGGTTTTGCTGCTGAGCGTTGACATCACCGCAGTCGTACAGGTGGATAACGTCTCAGGGGACCTCGCTCTCTATTTTGCAAATTCAGTGACTATCATCGTGAGATGGGAAAAGGCTTTCGTTTCTTTACGTGGTATTTCCGCCCGTTTGCTTCCTGTATCCCTCCCGCTTTGGGTGATGGAAGGCGGCAGCCAGTTTGAATTTGCCATGACGGTAACGGCTCCCCGCACCCCTCCTAGGTCGAGGAGATCAGACACGGCGTGGCTAAAATAGCTCAGTACGTGGAGGACGTGAAGAAGAACCACAGCGTCATCCTTTCTGCACCGAACCCAGAAGGAAGTAAGTCGTGTTTGTCTGCCCGTCTGTCCGCGTGCCCCTCTGTCTCGCTGTGTGTGACACCCGCCTGGGCGCCGGCTGCACCCGAGGTGGAGCCGGGAGCTCGTCACACACGCCGGAAACTGGCGGGCCACCTTGCGTGCTGCTGCCTCTGGTCGTGTGAGCCACGGCGTCACCGGGGTTTCACGGCTCCTGCGCGATTCTGGTGCTCAGCGGGGGGACCCCGACGGGGTTCACGCAGGTAAACTCCGGCCTCCAGCACAGCGCGGCTCTGCAGAGCTCTGTGCCAGGTCGGGGAGTGGACCCGAGGTCCGTGTCGTGTCCACAGTCGGACAGGGCGACAGGCCGTGCTCGGATGCGAGCTGAAGAGGGAGGGAGCGATCTGGAGAAGGGACTTGCCGGAGCGGGCTCAGGGACCCGGGCGTCCGCAGTCGTAAGGAGGCGTTTGCTGGGTCTGGAGCCACGTGTTGGAAACGTGGAGTTGGATCTGGATGAGCCCGAGATGGCAGCGGAACCCGTACACCGTTTTGGGGTGTCGTTTCGGGGTGTACCGACAACGCCGAGTCTTAATCCACGGAGGGAGGGGGTCAGTCTGTCTCCTGTCCAGACCCCATGGTGTCCTTTCCAGCTGTGTTTTCCCCTCACGCCAGCTTCCAGGCCAGACGCATAAGCCGATGCGACCTCGAAACATACGCCTTTCCCGTCACGCGAAGTGTCGCTCTCCTCTGGCACGCCTGTGCCCTCACAGCCACTCGGCCTGACGCCGCGCGCCAGCAGCCTCCTCTGCCAGGGGGTGCTCCCGCTCCCACCACGTTCCTCTTAGCCTTTCTTCACGCTTGTGTTTTAGATGTTTCTCTTACCTCTTGTAAACAAGATGCGGTTGGGTTTTGTTTTTTTATCCAGTGTTATCATTTTTTGTCTTCAGTGCTTTTAGTCTACTGGAATTATTGACATGTTGGGGCTCACATTCAGAACCTTATTTGCTTTTTTATTTTTCTTGTTCTGGTGCTTTTTCTCTTTTCATGCTTTCTTTTGGACTGGTTTTAAAGGATTTCACCCCTCCCCCATTATACCGTTCACTGCCGTTTTAGTGGCTGGTCCCATGGGTGCAGTATGCATTCCTGACTCGTTAAAATCTAATGCAAATCTGCATTTTTACTGCTTCCGGGTAATACACGGATCTTAGGAAACTCTGATTCCGTCTCTTCCCACTTATTGTCTCACTTGTAATAGATGGAAATAACACGCGTGTGCGTTTTACACTGTTTACACGGTCAGTGGGCGTTTGGGTCTACCCACCGTTACCCTTAGCAGGGCCCGTTCTCTCCATGTCTCAAAACTTCCATCTGAGGTAACTTTTTCTTTCTACAAAACGCTCTTCTTTACTTCTTTTAGCAGGGCGGTACCACTGTCTGAAATTGTCCTTATTTAACTGCCTTCTGGCAGGACATTTTCACGGAGTGTAGGAGTCTGGTCTGGAGGTTATTTCCTGCCACCACCTCGAAGACCCTGAAGATATCTTTCCGTTATTATTTGTTTAAGTCAGCTCTCTGATCGTAGCTTTTAAGACGTTTGCTTTCTGGTCTTTGGGTTTATTTAGCAAGTTGGCTTTGACGCTTCCAGACGTGATTTCGTTTTTCTTTATCCCACTTTTTTAAGCCTTCCTGAGTCTCTGGGTGGATCTTTTTGGCAATTTTGGAAAGCTCTTGGCCATTTTCTCTTTGAGAGGCATCTTCGCTCCATCACCGTCGCTTGTCTTTGAGAGACGACGGCGAGTGTCGCAGACGGTTCCGCCGTGCCCCCCGCGCCTGCGCCCGCTGCTCCCCGGCGCCACCGTTTTCCCGCGCGCGTTTGTTTTGAAGTCCCCTTTCTGATTTGTCTTCGGGCCTCTCTTCCGCTGTTATCTTTCCAGTCAGGGACTCTTCAGCTGTCGAGTTATTTTTAGCTGAAGTATTTTTCAGTCCTAGAATTTCAGTTTTTTACACTGTCCCATTTTCTGGTGAAATTCTTAATCTTGTGATTTACCTGTTCGAGCATCACTGTTTTGAGGTCTGAGTCAGGTAACCGCGTGAGCTGGTGCCTCCGCAGGTGCGGTTGTAGCGTCTGTTGTGTTTCTTGGGTTTGATTCCTGTTTTCCTCTCCGTGTGCCTGGTTATTCTTGACCGAGTGCTGGGCTTGACCGAAAACTGGCGGCAAGAATTTGAGTCCCAGGATAGTATTTTCTTTTTTAAGAGATGATTTTTAAACACTCGGACAGATGACCGGGGCAGCCGGGGGAGGAGGGAGGGGGGCAGAGCCAGGTGCCCGCGGGGCTCGGCCTTGGGGTCAGCAGCGTGGGCGCCCCGCGCTCACCGCGGCGCTTCCCTGCACGGCACCCTCCGCCCTGTCGTTTTAGCTTTACGCTGCCTTTAAGCAGATGGAAAACTCTTTCCTGCAGCTTTTCCCATTGCTCTCCACAGGAGGGCGGACCGGACCTGCCTAGTCGCCGGAAGGGCAGTCCCCGCTGTCCTGACCTGTCGCACGGTTAGCAGCACCACCCTCGGGGCAGCTGTGGTCTCGGCCCCTTCGTTTCTCTAGCGCGTGAGAGCTGCTGCCCGTGTTGGCAGGAAGTCCAGGATCTCTGTCCGCACTGTCCCCGGCTTGCTGTGTCACAGCCGAGGGGCCCTCGCGACAGAGA